AATATATATATATATATATATATATATATATATATATTCCACACACGTCTGAAGCCAGATTGTGTGCCAAACAAATCATAGTACAATAATCTTTATAGAAAGAAAAACGCTCCATGATTTGCATGTGGGCTGAATACTGCCATGTTGCCCAGGCCAAGGCAGTTACAGTACCAGTACAATTAATTAGCAAGCTTGTTCCCTATGAAATAGTTGCGTTATAATCTACTCACCAGACTTATTCCTTCAAAGGCGCACATGGCCACACTGAAACCGATTAGAACACCTTGTGCATCCTTGATAGCGGGAAACACTGTGATCGGTTTGAGGCCCGAGTAGAAGAGAAAGGCGAAAATTAACACGGTTCCCAACATGGTGGCTAAGTTCGCCACTGTGGATAAATAAGCGAAAACTCGCATATCGCTGCACAAACACATGGGAACGAGAATAAGACAGATCATGAATCCGACGAAGTAATAGTTCAGCCAGAGCCAGGGGAAAAAGGAGTGCAGGAACTAAACAGGAAACGGGGAGGATTGGGGATGACGAACATAAGCAACAGGGGAAAAATGAAACACGTTTAAATAACGGTATAGAGAACTATTTTGTTACAGAAGGTTGACAGTATCTAGGAAAGTAACGTATTCAATATTCAAAAGGGTAAAAAAGATTAATAGAGTGCAGCTAACTGTCCGAAATCGGCGCAGTCCAATTTTAGGCTTTATGGAGCGTGTATCTCTACCTATAAATTTTCGGAAGCAAAACGTCTGGAAAACAACCATGCTAACTTTTCTCGAGACCTGCGGCCATGCCATGGTACTATCACACACTGCACTAATTCTGTGGCAATGAGCACAGAAGAAAAACAGGTTATTCTTTTTCACACGCTCGATGCTGACACCGTGTTTACAGGCAGCCAATCCGGTCTTTGCTTTGCTCTTCTGCAATTTGTAGTTTAGGAAAGTACGAAAACTATCATGTTTGGATATCCATGGACAGTTTGTTTAGCCTCGTGTGTCGAGTGAGTGGTTGGGACGGATAATTGACTTGGTTCCCTAGTTTCTCGGAACGACCGTTATCTCACGGCTAAGCGTGAATAAGGTGGGCTTGGACTCCCTGAATAAGCGATCGCGGACGATCGGCGGCATCGATCGACGATGTGGTGGGTTTACTTCCTGGCAAGGGTTCTCCGGGCAAAAAACACCGCAGATATCAGTGGACGGTGCTGTGACGTGGCCCGCCACTAAATATGGCCATTGCGTGGCGAGGCTCTCAGTGAGAGAGCTAGATTGTATCCCAGTCGACAGTAGGTTGTGCGCAGTGGGAATTAAAGGTTCGTGCAAAGTAAGCATCCGCAGCCCCGATATACAAAAAATGTTTGTCGTGTCGGCGTACGGAATGCACTCCAGATGCATTCAGAGATAAATTTTACCAAAGACTACATGACCTTTGTGTAAAGTGACCCGAGCTAATATCGTGATTCTAGCAGGAGATATGAATGCTAGAGGTCGACCCCGAGTGAGGGAGGTCCTTTCGGACTAGACTCGGAAAATGTTCTGACAACCGTCTATTGCTCGCCAGTGCCAACTTCAGACGCTCCAAGCGCCGGTACGATACTTGGCATCCGACCTCCTGGAGTCAAGGACGGACGCAGATCGACCATATCGTTATAAGCCACCAACGGCGGGGCTGCGAACAAGATTGACGATTGTACTGGAGCACTTCCCTCGAATCTGACCACGCATTAGTTTGCGCCAAGCTACCCATGTGCTTCGGTGGACGTTCCAAACGCACGTTACGACGGTTAGACTGCGACAGGCTGTCCAAATCAGCTTGTCTCATTGTCTTCCGAAACGCACTGATTGAAAAGTTAGAAAACTCCCACCTGATAACAACCTGAACAAGTCGCTTATCAAGAACGCTCTGCATTCTATTGGCTGACACGTGTTCTGACACGTGGTACCGTGACACCCGATTTGGCGGATGCCTTCTTGACGCACGTCGGTCAGTTCCGACCGGCAGCAAGCATAACCCATGCCAACACAGAGACCGCTAGATCTGGTGGATTCAATGCGCGTCAGAGATGAAGAGTGCTGCTGCCATGGGAAATTCCCGTTAACTGTTTCATCTCATCCGGGTCACCAGTAGGAAAGCTTTGGGTGTGAGTGAAACGATCGCCGCAGCTGACGGGTCACACATTATTAATCAACAGCGAAGTCTTGCATACTGGGCGGGGCACTTCAAACCAGTTTAGCCGGCCACCTGCACAAGCTTCTCACATAGCTACTCCGGCACACGTCCTATGGTCCCTTTTAACAGACCCACCTTCTGAGGCGGAAATCCGTAAGGCGATCCAAGCTCTGGGACATCACAAAGCGCCGGGCTCCAATGGTCTTCCTCCAGCTCTATTTAAAGATGATAGAATAAAGCTTGTTAGAGAATATTTGGCTCTGCTCTCCAAAGTCTGGCACACTGAGTAGGTCCAATATTACGTACATCATACATTTAACACACGTTTGAGGCCAAACTGTGGCAAACAAAGCATGGCACAATTATCTTTATAAAAAAAAAAGAAAAACGTTCATGATTTGCATGTGGGCAGCATAGTGCCAGGTTGCCCGGACCGAAGCAGGCGAATTCTCTTGAGGAATCCACAACCGGAGCCTTCGGTAAGCCAAAGCCTGACCTGAAAGGCAGCGGGGCGTCGTGAAAACCGCAATCCATTGGGGGCCGGTGTCCAGTTCGTCGGATCATACGCCATTTGGACAGGTTAGACGTCCAAGGTGCTCCATACACCTCGATGCTCAAATGAGCCGGTGACTTCTGTCCCAACCGGAAATGTGTGTGCGGTTCGTACGCCTCCACTTGGTTGGTTTCGATTCAGGGTTTTCGGTCAACTCCCTTAGGTGAACTGTTAGCGGACGACCAACCTGGTTATAACCCTGAATGTGGGGAGAATTGATTGTCACTCACAGCTTTAAAAAAAGGCCCGCGCAGCGACTAGGAATATAAACCTGATCTCAATACTGTCAAAGCTTTTAGCATCCATCATTCTCCACCGACTGTACGCTACGTATGAGAAGCAGGCTCGGTTTCGCGCCGGTCGTGGATGCATTGACCAAATCTTCACCTTCCGACAGACTTTACAACTGGTTGAATGGAGACATTGAAGGATATGGCAGCGAACCGACAGCAGTGGCGTTCTTATTGTCGTTTCTTATCAGGTCAGAATGCTTGAAACGGTATGTATGCAGAGTTCGATTGTGCACTCGCGGTGTGTTGACCATAGATGTTCATCTTCTTCCCCCTCCCCTAAAACAAGTCCAATCCCTGTCCAATTAAATTTTTCCAATAACCTTGTATGCATTGCGAGTCTGGCAGTGATCAGTGGAGTTCAGTTCAGTTTGAACAACCATTAACCACGCATATTCGTGCGCCAGTTTTGGTTGGTCTTTTGGCTGCCCATTTGGATGAAGAATAAAAGTGAAAGTGGAGTCGAAAAGAAAATGGAGAAGTTCAGTGGTCTAAGGTTGCAAAGAAATTGTGGAGATGCACGAACGCCACTGGTTGCGACACCCAGCTATATCACTCAGTGTAGCTAACCATCGGTGACCATCATCACGAGGTCCCCAGCCAGGGAGCCTAATACGACCTGTGACCGAGTCTCCTGGTTAGGGTTTTCATACCCTCATGCCAGGTCTTGGCTTGACCTTCCTTGGCTTTCATCCATTCACTACCTGCCTCGGCAAACATCGCTCGCCGTGGTAACCCTCCTGGTGACATGCGTAACATATGTTCCAGCCAACGTAATCTATGGAGTTCGACCACTTGCTCTAGTGGGCGACTGCGGATATCCAAAACTCAGCATTGCTCATCCGGCTACCCCACCAGATTCGTGCAATGCTGCGTAGACAGCGGTGTTCAAACACCGACAGTCCATCTTTATCCTGTTTTCTTAATTGACAGGTTTCTGCACCGTATAGCAGGACTGGCCGAACTGTCGCGGCATACACTCGACCGTTGTTTTTTATCGATATATGCATACCTTCCAGTGTTCATTGAGTCTTTCGGCTGGCGGTTGAACTGACAGGCGATCGGAGAGCTCTGCATCGAAGGCCGATTTGCATGAATCGCTGACACTGTATCGCGAATATCCGTTGTCGGTGGCTTTTTTGCGGTTGTTTACCGGGCGTAAGGAGAACTT